GATAATAAGAATACAACTGAGAAATACAGTATATCACAGTGGTACGATATCCCATTTTGTCAAATTAGCGGAACGAATGTTACTGTATCTGAAGGAAAATGTGCTCAGAATTGAGGCTATTAATCAAAGAATCACCGCATGTGACTTACAAAAGTCAACAAAATCAACTATGATTACGAACTCGCATGGATCGCGCGACATCCACAATCGGATTGTGAGGAAAGTGAGTAATACAAGTTGACCTTGCCACTGAAAAATATTTTCGTGATGTCATATTCCCTCATGATGAGGCTGGGGTCCGGAGTTGAAACGTCTTTAAAGAACTAATACGTACTTTAACGTCGTACTTGGATCTGCGTATGACTGGAACTACAGAAATGAAAAACTGATGCAAGAGGAATAAAAGCATTTGTGTTTATAGTTTAGTCCAGAGCTTTGTTTATCTCCGTCTGAAATCGTACCGCTGGAGACGATGAAGGGAAAAGTTGTTTAAGTCATGCTATGTGAGCTAGAGTTAAAAAGTAAGCAGATGATATTAAGAAAATCAGGAAGAAATCGAACATGAAAAACGGATTCGCATAACGAGCTACAGTGACTAGTAATGATTACCAACTAATAGAGGTCACCAGGTATGTCTACGTAAGACAAGCAATGGGGTTGGATCACTCCTTCGGTTCAGAGCAACCTAACCGGCATCGTACGATGTCCAGTATGCACGGAAGAAATTTTGATATTCTTGAAAATAGCAAATTATCAATTGTGATTAGAATCACACTGTAGGACAGCACGGTACGACAAGAGCTTTCATTCGTTTCCAGACGTAGACATTTCCGTAGAAGGTAAAAGAATTTTTAAGAAGTGCAACAGTGCAATATGGAAAGAAAGACGCTGGTGAATTAAGGACGTTTTCTAAAGAAACAAAACGACAATTGGCAGGTCACATCGCCCGAATGACGGAAACTGAAAAATATCGGCAGTGAAAGAATGATATTCAAGGTGATGCAAGCACACGATTCAAAAGATCTCCCTTAGAATGGACGATGACGTAAAAGAGAGATATGAAACAAAACCAAACAAATGAGTTCCTCTTTAATTAATTTAATTTAATAAAGGATCAGTCATACATTCTCTCTTTTAATACCGGATTTAAGCGGCGTAATGGCACTACCTCCTTACTTTTAGGTGCCTAGGTGACCATTTAGCAGGCCGCGACTCCATGGCATTTGAGCACCTGCAGTGCATAGACGCAAAACCGCACCACTGAGAAAAAAAGGCGTGTTCGAACACCTGCAGATACGAGACTATCCGTAGGCATATTTATAAATAAAAATAAAATCCCATCTTATCGGTTTACTAGCATGACGCTAATTATGCTATTTTTATGCATAAAGGATCAAACAATTGTTGTTCTTGCTGCAATTATTTATTTTTTGTCCAACTTGAGCACGTTAGTCCCAAATCTATGCTGAAAAGGCGGGTTCTTGGGAGATATTCTTAAACCAGTAAACTTCAAAATTTGAGAACCCCGTAACAATAAATTTTTGATTTGGGTAAAAACTTACGATACAACTGAATCACATTGAAGACCGCTATCGAGATGGCAATTATAAGCGATTGTCCAGCTTCCAGACCATTGATACCGGCCAGTATATTAATAGAGTTGGTACAAAATACGGCCAGCATTCCAATGTAGATATAATAAAAGATGCCTAAAAGACAAAACAGCTAAGTAAAGTTACATGTAATCAGCAGAAGGTTACCGATGTTGACCTCTTTCGGCAAGAAATGCCTAAGGGGAATAGGAATAATGAAAGAGGTCGAATTGCAGTTCGCAGCGTACACCATCAGCAGAGGCAGCGAAGCAATGGAAGGAAAGAGCAGTTTGTGTCGCCAACGAAGATCCAACACGTCGTCGGCAAAGCCAAGAAAAATCATACAGCATATGGACAGCAGAGCAGACAGAAATTCGACGAACTGAAAAGTTATGTGAATAATTTACCTCATCTAACTCAAATACACAATCTCAAAAAGTCTTAGAAACATGTCTTAAAAACAGATGTTTCGTAAAGAAATGCGATTCTTTAAAGGCACAAT